TTGTTTGCCATCAAACTACCTGGTTGTTGAATGAGCGCTTAAATAAAATTAAAATTGTTAAAAAGAGGTGCCAGAATTTTTCTTTTTAAAAAACAGGAGTGCTGTTTGGCAAATATCTAAAAAAAAAAAAAAGTTTTTTAGCTAATTAAATACAATAAAACAGTGTTGTTTTACAGTAAATGTTCAAATAACACGTTTTTTTTTTTGTAAAATTAAACATTTTTAAAAAATAAAGTCATTTTTGAAAAAACAATAAAAGAATATTTAAACTCTTAACAATGGCAAATATTTTTAAAATAATAAAAAAAAACATTTTGCTGATTTAAATACAACAACAACTGTAATTTTACCGTCAGATGCTGTAAAGCAAGATTCACAATTTTTTTTAAAATCCAGAATTTTGCATTATTGATAGTTTCACAGTAAATTAAAACATTTTTTCCTGTGATGTTACTGGACATAATGTGTGCTTTAACTTTGAAAATCTGTAAAATAAATGTTTCAATCCTTAATATACACGAAGTTTCTTTCAAATAACAGCAAGTATTTCTAAAATAATGATTTTTTTCCCCGTTTTAAATAAATAAGCAACGCAGTGTTTGGGCTAATTTCACAAGTTATTATCTGTATCACATTAAACTAAAGAAAATCTGTCAAATAAAATGTAAATTAATAGCAGTGATGTTATTTCTCAGCTGCTGTTGCTGTTAATGTGCTTTTAAAACAACTCGACTAATCTTTAGATTTTGCATCTTCTTGTTTCATTTTTAAACTTTATTTTAAATCCTGTCTGCTGCTTTCTGGGTGTCCTGGTTTTATAAAGTGCCACATGAATAAAAACTATTAATATTATTAGAATAGTTCATTTTTTTGACACAAAATGTACAAAAGTTGACAGACTAATGAAGCAGTGAGCAGATTAACAACAAGCAGCCGGTCGTAAAGCCGAAGTTCTGCAGAGACAAAGAGAAGACAGGCAGAAGGACGGTGAAGACAACGGGTGAAGAGCAGCTTGTGTTTGTGTTTGCAGGAATGTGGCCGCCGGCGAGGCGGGGGAGGGACGGAGGTCGGCTTCAGGCTCCAGGCTTCGACCTGCAGGACCAGAAACAGTGAAGCTGCATCAGGCTGCAGGACCGCCGGCTGCTGGGTTCAAGCCTGCAGAGCAACGAGACACCGAACGAGTTCTCTTCTTTTATGGCCGGCTGCAGGAGGCTTCATGTTGTGGTCGTCCTGCTGTTGTTTTGTGGACGTTTTGCGTCTCTTTGTGCTCTGTTTGAGTGATATTCTGGACTTTGTGTGTCTCTGTGTGTGCCTTGTGGGCATTTGTGTCTCTGTAGTTGCTTCTTGTCTCTTTGTGGTTGTTTTG